ATATATTCTAAATAAAGTAAATAATGATATTAATTAATTAGTTAATTAAAAAATCAGTTTACCTTCTCAAAAAAACCTTTGACAATTTTAAGTGTATCAGATGCATTTGGTCGTATATTTATATTCTCTTGACGCATTAATTGTGAAAGTGATAAAAGTTCTTCAGGCAATCCATTAATACCACTTGAAACAACCAAATATCCAACACCCCAGATATCAACTGTTACATTATGTACTCCTATTAACATTTCAGGAGCATGATTATCTGGGTTTAAGTCCTGTAAATTCTCACTTGAAGGAGAAAAGTTGGCAAAATCAAAATCAATCAAAATATATTGATTTTCATATTGTATAATATTTGGCCATCGTATATCTCTATGCATAACTGGATTAGGTTTAATGCTATGCAAACCCTAATTAAATATCTTCATATTAGTTGATAATAAATAATAATAATAATATATATATATATATATATATATCACTAAAGATAATACCTCTAAACAAGTTAATATACAGATCAAAGCTCTTAGTAATTCATTAAGATCTTTTGGTTTCTTCTCCTTTCCCCTTGGTTCCAAGTGAACAACATTGTCATGAGAACGAATTAATTTATCAACACATTTAATCTTGTAATTCTGTGTAAATGTTTGTTAGAAATGTAAATTTGAAGACAAAAAAATGAAAATATATTTTAAACTTACACTCATCAATCCATAAAAATTTTCTAGATGTTTAACTTTAATTTCTGAAAGGAATGTTTTTTTAATACCATAGCCAATTTCAATATTAGTTCCATTATCACGCATTATGATTTCAAAATCTGGTGATTCTCTTGATGGACACATGTTAATTATCATAGGTAGTATGCAACCTAAATTTTATAAAGTAAATTAGTATTTCTAATGAAATTTGAAAATCAAGATATGAAAGAACTTACATATATTTCTGATTAAATTCATCAACTTGAATCTATGTGTTAATTTGTTTAAATCAAATTCTGCAAGTCTCTCACTACAAATGTTTGGATGTTTTCTCTTTCGACTATTAATATTAGTAGGTTCCTTTTCACGATTATAAAGAACACAAAAGGTAACAGCAGTAGTATTTGCATAGTATCCGAAAAGATATGGAGTGTCTCCATAATCCCAAGTATTAAATTTATCAATTAATTCTTTAGCAGGTTCTCCATTCCCACCTTCTCCTTTCTCCTCTCCACGAACAATACATATGTTTCTCATTAATAAGACAAAATCTGGTCGATTCTGACCTATAAACTTTTCATTAGCACATGATATATTTCTACTTTTCAGTCAATCATTTAAATGAGTTTACCTGTGGTGGTATTTCTAAAAGTATTACGATCAAAATCCATTATTGGCATTTCATTAGAATATTTTCCAAATACTTGTAATGACTTGCTGATAATAGCATCCCAAAAGGAATGAAATGAATCTTCTGTTCTTCCTGTTGGAGGAGTGTTAATTAAACTTGATATTAACTCAGCAAAAAATGCGGTACAACTCTCTGATTTGCTTTCTGTAAAATATTTGTCACGTTCTGTTGGGTCTACACTGAATGGTCCAACAACTGGAATTAAAGAGAACAATTCCTTGAAAAGAGGGATTTTCACATTTGGTATCTCATTAAGAAAATATGCAAGTTGATGACGTTCAGGGATTTTGTCCGGACTTTGTAACCAATCTTTCATGAATTTATTCGATAGATCTAAATAAACAATAGAAAGAAATGAATGCTGATTAAAATAGTATTTGCATTGTATCAATGGAGATTTTGACTTAATTTCCAATAATAGATAAATGAAATGTTTGGACTTGCCGGAAACACCTTTATATTAATATTGTCCAAATGAAAGAGGCGAGAGAATGTGAAACACAAAATAGTCAATATTGTGACAATATA